TTGAGTTGGGAGAAAAGTCATTTCATGGTGACTAGTGGAGTCGTGCTTGGTCATGTAATGTCAAGTCGGGGGATTGAGGTTGACAAAGCAAAAGTTGATGTTATTGAAAAACTTCCCCCGCCTGTGAATGTGAAAGGAGTTAGGAGTTTCTTAGGGCATGCTGGCTTTTATAGACGATTTATTAAAGATTTTTCAAAAATCAGCCAGCCCTTGTGTCACTTGCTTGCCAATGATGTGTCATTCGTGTTTGATGATGCATGTTTAGATGCTTTTGATAAATTGAAAAATAAGCTTGTGACTGCTTCTATTGTGATTGCACCTGACTGGTCTTTGCCCTTTGAGATTATGTGTGATGCATCGAACCTTGCTGTGGGAGATGTTTTGGGCCAACGAGTTGATAAATTGCTTCGTGTAATTTATTACGCTAGCTTGACCCTAAATGGTGCCCAATTGAACTACACGACCACCGAAAAAGAGCTATTAGCTGTTGTGTTTTCTCTTGAAAAATTTAGATCCTACATCTTGGGGTCTAAAGTGATTGTGCATTCTGATCATGCAGCTCTTAGGTATCTTTTGAGTAAAACTCAATCGAAACCTAGACTTATTAGGTGGATTTTGTTGTTGCAAGAGTTTGATGTCGAAATTCGTGATAGGAAGGGTTGTGAAAATGTTGTTGCTGACCACTTGTCTCGCATTGTTCCTTCTGATCCTTCACTTGCATCGCATGAGCATGTAGGCATAAATGATGATTTTCCATATGAACATGCAAATGAAGTGGATAATGTGCCTTGGTATGCAGACATAGTGAACTATTTGTCAGATGGTGTTTTGTTGGCTAACCTCTCTTCCCAAGAGAGGAAACAGTTTGTTTTGATGTGTAGGAGCTATTTTTGGGACGACCCATTCCTTTTTAAGATGGGAAAAGATGACATTCTTCGGAGGTGTGTGCCCGAAGAGGAGCAATTGGATGTCCTTACCTTCTGCCACGAGCTTCATTGTGGAGGAAATTATGGAGGCCGTAAGACCGCTTTCAAAGTCCTCCAATCAGGTTTATTTTGGCCAACTCTTTTCAAAGATGCTTATAACTTTTGCAAATCTTGTGACCGTTGTCAAAGAATTGGGAACATTGGCCCAAGAAATGAGATGCTCCTGGTGAGCAATTTACAAGTTGAAATCTTTGATGTGTGGGGCATTGATTTCATGGGGCCATTTCCCAAGTCTTTTGGCTTTGAGTATATACTTCTTGCTGTGGATTACGTGTCAAAGTGGGTTGAGGCTATCCCCACTCGGACATGTGATGCTAACGTTGTGATCAAGTTTTTGCAAAGTCATGTCTTAAGTAAGTTCGGATTTCCACGAGCTATTGTGAGTGACGGGGGCAAACATTTCTGCAACCGAGTGTTTGAGAAGTTGATGAAGAAGTACGGGATTTCTCACAAAGTGGCCACCCCATACCACCCACAAACTTCGGGCCAAGCTGAGACGAGCAACAAACAAATCAAGACCATTCTCGAGAAAACGGTGAACTCATCTCGAAAAGATTGGTCGAGCCAGCTCGATGATGCACTCTGGGCCCAACGCACAGCTTATAAAGGAGTTTTGGGGATGAGCCCGTTCCGGCTTGTCTATGGAAAGGCGTGCCACCTTCCAGTCGAGATCGAGCA